AAATAAAAGGCAGAAGAGCTAATTGAGCAACACTGGAGAATATTGCTCATTACTTAACTTCACAAAATATTGTGGAAATTATTTGACCAGGGGATAGTTCTCCAAAATGTACACCATTTTGATCAAATGACAATGATTCCCTTTGGGCTCTTCTGTGCACATTCATTATACAGATGGCCCAGACTTGCTATGATTCAGCTTGAGATTTTTCAACTTTAGATAGTGCAAAAGTGGTAACTGTTCAGTAGAAACCTTACTTTGAGTACACACACAACCAACCTACTTTTCACTTTTAGTGCAGTACTCAATAAATTGTACAAGGTATCCAACACTTCATTATAAAACAGGTTTCGTGTTAGAATAGATGATTTTGCCCAGCTGCAGGCTAATGTAAGTGTTCAGAACATGTTTCATGATGTTTGTAGGTTTTGTGTATTCAGTGCATTTTCAACATGGTATTTTCAACTTATATCAGGACAGAACACTGTTGAAAGTTGAGGTGCGTCTGTATTCAGAATGGTTTTTGGCTTCATGAAACAGAAACCTGATTGTAGGTAACTTAAACAAGTAACAAGTTCAATTTTCACAGGTGACAAGAACTAGAACAGCTGCTTACAGGACCAGACTGCTACCCTCTTCCTTCCTGTAGCCTATACCTTTAGAATTAAGGAAAATGGCAAAGGGCAAAATGAGTCAGCCCCATTTCACTCAGGAAAAGACTAGCTTTACAGGAAGTCCCAGCTCTAGATCTGCTCCTCACTTAGGAGTCAGAACTATGTCACATGGTCACCTCTTACTGCAAGGGAGTCTGGGAAACTTTTAGCTAAGCACATTGCTAACCAGAAAAAAACTGAGATTTTTTTTTTTTTTCTTAAGAGACAGGATCTTGTTCTGTTGCTCTGACTGGAGTACGGTGACACAATCACAGCTCACTGCAGTCTCAAACTCGTGGGTTCAAGTGATCCTCCTGTCCTGGCCTCCCGAGTAGCTGGGACTAGAGGTGCACGCCACCATACCTGGCTAATTTATTTTTATTTTTGTAGGGACTGGGCCTCACTTTGTTGCCCAGGCTGGTCTCAGACTTTGGGCTTCAAGCAATCCTCTTGCCATGGCTTCCTAAAGGGCTGGAATTACAGGCGTGAGCCACTGTGCCTGGCCTACGCCAACATTTTTTGTGTTTTATGCCTTGTTATTTATATAAAACACAAGGATAGAATCTGCTTCTCTTTAGCATCGATCCAACATGAAAAATCAAAATGTTACCCACGTCACTAATACATAGTAGTAACAGTGACATTGTGACTACAGCCTACAGTTCACGTGATAAAATTAAACAGGTATGATCATTTCTAGACATAGCATGATGCTATCTTATAAAAAGCATTTTATAAGTAATATGTAGAAATTGAGAAAATGTCTCATTCTGACACCACATTCACTGTATTTAATAAATCATCCCTTGCTGTTTCCATGTGGGGCTACCAGATCCATATTTCTGACTATAAGATCAATTAAAATGATTAAGCAGTGAAATGTAGAATACTGTTTCCTCATTGAACAATGAAAATCCCAGAACAGATGCAGGCTATGCGTCAGACTGTCAACTGCCTGCATTCCCATGAAATCCAAACATTTGAAGAGTAAAGGTCATTGGACACCAATTGCAAATTTTGGTGGAATTTAGTCAGTTGACAGGAGTTTCTCTATTGTGTATATTCTTCATACGGGAAATAATCTCTGAGGAGTTTCAAGTTGCATGTTTCCACTTGAATAATTACTTTTCAAAAAAGTTAGTATAAGCATATTCTAGATCACCTTACTGGCATGTGATTTCACTGTCTGAATTTGGGTTTACATACATAAAGGACTATGGAATGCTATTTTCACTGTCTCCAGTTAATGATAACAAAAGCAAGCTGAACTTCACATACATGTGATGCCCCTGTGGGACGTGCAGGCCAAAGGTCCTGAACAGGAACATACAAGAGAACTGAAGAAATTCAACAGAGAAAAGGGATGGGCAAATAGAGTCAGCACTGAGGCTGTGGGGGTCGGCAAACAAACCCAAATGAACCTGCCACAGAGCAGCCACCGCCAGAGTCATGATTTGTGCAAGAGTTGAGATTTAAGACACATTATTGGCCACATTAAGTTAATGTTGTTCATTTGAATGTAATGGCTTTGCCATTTTGTTTGTATTTAATTTGTAAAGATATTTGGTTTTATGGTTGTATAATGGTTGTCAACAGAAGGAGTTTAGTCCTATTTTATTTTTATACATATTTAAGTAACATTATAATCAAAACAATTTAGTTCAATACTGCAGTAGCAAGAGATTGTCTTTCAAAAAAAAAAAAAAAAAAAAAAGAATCCCTATACTTCTAAAGTCTGAGAAGCACTTTTCTATAGCTTTCTCTCCAACAGGAACAGAATGGAAGTGATACCACGACTTCTCAGCCAAATTCACATTCCATCAAAGGCAGATGAAGAAGGGCTTTATAGGAACAATTCCCAACTTTTTGGATTAGGAACATCAGTCATTGTTTCATAGATATCTTGTTCTCTGCAAAAATAATAATTACAATAAACTAAAGCTTCTATAGTCCTATGGTCCTTTTTCTTAAAAATATAAATTATGTCTCTCTGAGTTGGAGCATCTTACAAATTATCTAGTCTAATCAGCCTTCTGGGACACAAATGCACACAGCTGTGCTTGAGTTAGGCTGAGAAGGGCTTTTGAATACAGCAATGTCTAAAATGTGATTCTGAGTTACTCACAGTTTGGTGTAACTCATCCTCATGACTAAAGTCTCTTCCAGAATGTTTCGCTGAGTGGCTTTTGACAGAAATTAGGAGGCTGACTTTCAGCTTGGGGTTAGCACGGTGCAGGATAGAGACTACAGGTGGGTATGCTGGAGTCCAGAAAGAGTGTGTTCTGAGCATGTTAGCGCTAATGAAAATTTGCAGACATTTACTTGCAAGACTTAGACTCTTGTAGGGTACTATGATTTAAACTGGGGTTTACAGCAACCACTTCTGGACCTCAGGAGCTGGGAAGACAGATCCCAGTCGAATGGGATGTCTCCTGGCTCTGATGCCATGTGGGACTTCTGAGCTGTGGGAAAAACTGCTATGAGGTAGTCTACTGTTTTTCAGATTTTCAAAGTGAATGTGGAAGGTGCAGCAAATGATGACTGCATTTATTAAAGATCAATAATGTCAACTAATTATTTTTTACTTCCTCCAAAAGTTACTGACAATGCCAGTGTTATGGTGTCCTTTCTCCCATGAAGATAATTCCAGTAGGACATTCGTGACCTTCAAATGCTGTTTAACCTTCTAGAAGCAGCATTCACAAGTACAGCAGAAACCAAGTAAAAGCTTTTAAAGAAAAAGTCATTGTCACTGATAATTTTATTCTTTGGATCCTGACATATCTCTGGTTAGATAATAAGCAAGTGAGCCTTCTAGGTGATCACACCAAAGGGGTCTAAATAAGCCATAAGCCTCCAATGTTAACTTACAATGCCCAGTTATCATAGTCAGTACCAAACCGATTTTATAGATTTTCATAAGCCAATAAGGAAAACTGAAAACCCAACAAAAGCAAAACAAAACAAAAAACAGAAAAACACTCTGGCTAGCATTTCACCTGAAGATTTGGCTTCCCATTTGCTATTTTGAAAAATATTTCCTCCTGGGTTTGCCTGAGAGTTACCCATTGCATCTGCAAACCTCTATTAAAATTAGCTGGAGGTAGCTAAAATAGAAACTAGGTGCAAAACGTAGCAACCAGTAACACATGGATGCTCTAGATGAAGTAATTCCAGCACATCTCTCGTCTTGCACTCTTACAGTGCCATTCCCAGGACCAACTAGCAGCATCAAACCTGGTCATGTGTAAGAAATGCAACTTTTTCAGCTCAACCTCAGACCTACTGAATCAGAATTTGGGGAGAGAGTCCACCAATGCGTGTTTTAAGAAGCCCTCCAGGAGATTCTGACGCACACTAAAGCTAAAGCACTGAAGCTTGAGAGCCCCTGGTTTCAATGAAACCTGCTATTTATAATGTTCAAAGTCCAGTTTCTAGATAGAGCAACACTTACCGGAAACCATTTTAAGAGATGATGGGTTGATTGTATCATTTATGACAATAACATGCAAACGTTTGCTATAAAAGGAAATTATTTGTGAACTAAACTCCTCATGGTACTTGAACATACAAACGGAAGAGCAGAAAAGATCTGTTTAAAGTTGTTTCAGTTAAATTTTGAAATAAATATATAGCAATTAAAATACAATTAACAGATAAATAAATACTCAAGATGAGGGATACCCAAAATATCCTGACTTGATCATTACACATTCTGTGCATGTAAAAAATACTCACATGTATCTCATAAACATGTAAAATATTATGTATCAATTAAAGAATGATACAGTTAACATTGCACCCCAGTGTGCTACACTGATACACATAACTCAGACCTGTGGTCTGCGGCTGTCAATAAGCAATCTGTTCTACTACACTATTCTTCTCATTTACCGACTCTTTCATAATATAAAATTTCGCTGCCTAAAAAAAAAGTGATCCATCTAAATCATAATTGGAACAATTCATATCATTCCCCATCTCTTTAATTGCCACACCTACAGGCTCTGCTAGCAATAAAAGGATATATCACTTTAGTAGAAGAGTCATAATTTTAAGTTTGCTTTTCATTTGAGTTATAAACTAGAGGCTGGTTCTCAGGTATAAAACCATCTTAATAACAAAATGAAATATGTTGGAATCATTAGAGAAGCCATCAAAACCTCCGCTGATCCTTCCTTTAGGTTTCAATTTGTGTCACCTCAATACTTTTAGACACAACAGCTTTTTAAAGACCATTAATAAAAGGCAGTTCTGGTTTCAGGACTGATGAACGATCTACTCCCTTGTCAGACGCTATAGAAAAGTTGATTTGGAAGCAATATCATGATTGCTCCTGGCACCTACCTGTCTACAGGTGAAGGTTTGGAATTCCGCGGCTTTTTGACTTGAGCATACAAAGCATCCATCAAATGACCTTCTCGTGGGCTCTGAGGTCTAGCATTGAGAGCCATGGAACCTTCGTAAGAAGAAACTCCCCCATACATCAACTCATGATCACAGCCAAACGTCCGATGAAAGTCTTGGATTTCAGCATAGTCACGCTCCCTGGCCTGTCGCTCCCTAAATTCTCGAGTTTTGGCTTGAATCCTATGAAATCAGAACAAAGCTGAAATCAGAGAAACTACTCCTTTTCTAGGAACTGCATATAGAAACATTAATCAAAATATGTTGTAAACTATATTTTATGTCATGTAGCTATAGGAGATAAGTGGTATAAATAATAGGTCATATACATTATAGATTGTGAAAATGCTATGGATGCTCAGAAATAATAATTTTAGATACTCTTTGTTCATGTCAACAAGATTGCAGTCATAATTTAAATCTTTTTTTTTTTTTTTTTGGACAGAGTCTTACTCTGTCACCGGGCTGGAGAGCCGTGGCATGAGATCTTGGCTCACTGCAACCTCCGTCTCCCAGGTTCAAGCAATTCTTGTGCCGTAGCTTCCCAAGTAGCTAGGATTACTGGTGTGCACCACCACGCCTGGCTAATTTTTGTATTTTCTGTCGAGATGGGGTTTTACCATGTTGGCCAGGCTGGTCTCAAACTCTGGACCTCAAGTGATCCTCCTGCCTCAGCTTCCCAAAGTGCTGGGATTACAAGTGTGAGCCACCATGCCTGGCTATAATTTAAATATTAAGTTTAAATAATTTTCACTTATTAACTAGCTTTAAAAACTCACAAGGAATAGATCATTTCTGGCATCTACTTGGATATTACTCATAAATTTAAGGCAAGAAATAATTTTTTAAAGTTACATATACTTTATATATAAAAATATTTATGTGTATGTTCTATATATATATATCTTACTCATTATTAGTACACCATAAACATTCAACATACAGTGAAGCTTAAACACAAATTCACACCATAACTCTTCATTAGTGGCCTAAGAGGATCTTGACTTGTCATCAACTCTGTCATTTTATGGAATACATACAGAAATGGGGAATCCTTAAATTAAGGACTAGAAGGCATGTATCCAATCAAATTCTGAAGTAAAACTTGCCTACATTACAACTAAGAAACAAACCTTAAATGTTCAACTTTACTGAAGATACGTTTAGTTTACTATGATTTTATTAAACTATTTAATACAACATCCTCTTCAACTTATAATATATTGATATAATTTATGCCCTAAATCAATCTTAGTTACCTGGAAATAATTTTAAAACCCCCAACAGAATTTTAATTAAAAAAATCTCCTTTATCCACTTACAAATTTAAATATATACATAAATGCAGTAAAATCTTACTTCTACAAAGCAATACTTTAGACTGAGTTTAATCTTTTATTGCATATATTTTTTCCATGTTTGAAGTTGACCTCTGCTAGCATAAACAATACATAAATATATATTCAAAAGAATCCAGAGAAGATACCAAAATCAGATAGACAGCAGCAAAAAGAAAAAAAAAAAAANAAAAAGAAAAAAAAAAAAAGGAAGACAGAAGAGAAAGCTATAGGCCAATATTCCTCATGAATATGGAAGCAAAAACCCTTAATGAAATATTAGCAAATGAAATTCAGCAATATATAAAAGAAATAATACACCATGACCAAATGGTGTTTACTGAAGGAATTCAAGCCTGGTTCAATATTCAACAATAAATTACTACAATCCATCATATTAACAGATCAAAGAAGAAAAGTTACATGATTATATCAATTGATGCAGAAGCATCTGACATAATTCAACATCCATCGTGTCAGAAAACCTTCAGAAAACTAGACATAAAGTAAAACTTCTAAACTTAAGAGCATCTACCAAAAACCAACAGGTTCCATCACGTATAATGGAAAAAGACTGAATGATTTCCCTATGATAAAGTAAGGATGTGTGCTCCTACCACTGTAATTCCACACATCGTTGGAAGTTCTAGGCAATGCAATAAGCCTAGAAAAGGAAATAAAAGTATACGGTTTGAAAAGGAAGAAATAAAACGCTTCTTACTTGCAAATGACACAATAATCTATGTAGAAAATGCCAAAGAATCTACAAAAATCTCCTAGAACTAAAAAGCAAGTCAACAAGGTCAGAGGATACAAGATCAACATATAAAAATCCATTGTATTTTCCATATGCTGGCAATAACCACATGGTCACTGAAATTAAAAATACAACACTATTTATAATCCCTAACAAAACAAAACACATAGATACACATCTATAAGCCAAATTTTAGTTTATGAAGATCTATGTAAGATAGATACTTGGAAAACTACACAACACTGCTGAAAGAAATCAAAAAAGGTTTAAAACTGGGAAGACATACTATGATCATGGATGGAAAGACTCAATGTGGTAAATAAGCCAGTTCTCCCCAAATTGATATACAGGTTTAATGCAATTTCTTTAGAAATCCCCGAAAGACAGCCTGGGCAACACGGTGAGATCCCAACTCTACAAAAAATTTAAAAAATAGCCAGGTGTGTTGGTGCACGCCTGTAGTCTCAGCTGCTCGGCAGGATGAGGCAGGAGTACTGCTTCAGCTCAGGAGGACGAGGCTGCAGCGAGCTGTGATGATGCCGCTGTACTCCAGCCTGGGCAACAGAGCAAGACCCTATCTAAAAAAAAAAAAATCTGAGCAAGATGTTTTTTATAGATATTGACAAGATTATTTGAAAATTAATATAGAAAGGCAAAAGACAGAATAGTTTAACTGTGGAAAAGAGCAATAAAATGGGAGGAATCGCATTTCCAGATTGCAAGACTTGTAATATAGGTATCATAGCACAGACTGTGTAGTACTTACAAAAGGGTAAACATACAGATTGATGGAATCGAATACAAGAACCCAGAAATAGCTAAGAAGTATGGCCAACTGATTTCTCACAACTGTGCAACAAAAACAATTCAATGTAATAAAATAGTTTTTCCAACCAATGGTGCAGGAGCCATGAGATATCCATAGGCAAAAAGAAAAGGAAAAATAAATCTAATTTTATATCTTACTAAAAAATTAACTCAAAATGGATCATAGGTTTAAATGTAAATATAAAAGTAGAAAATTTAAGAAAAAATGTATGGGATTCTTTAGCAATTAATGCATGGTGAAGGGTTTTTAGGACTAATACCAAAACCAATATCCATAAAATTTAGAAGGATATAAATTGCATGTCATCATAATAAAAAATTTTCCCCTATGAAAGCTCTAATTAGAAGATGAAAAAATAAGTACAGACTGGAAAAAAATTTTTGCAAGGCACATATCTGACAAAGAACTCATATCCAGAAAATAAATTTTTAAAATACTCAAAACTCAGTCAGCCTTCTTGGCTCACACCTGTAATCCTAGCACTTTGGGAGGCTGACAGGGGTGTACTGCTTGAGCCCAGGAGTTCAAGACCAGCCTAGGCAACACAGTAAAACCCTGTCTCTACAAAAAATGCAAAAATTAGCTGGGCATGGTGGTGCACAACTGTAATCCCCTCTACTCAGGAGGCTAAGGTGACAGGACTGCCTGGGTTCTGGAGGCCGAGGCTGCAGTGAGCCATGACTGTGCCACTGTACTCTAGCCTGTGTGACAGAGCAAGACACTGGCTCAAAAAAATAAAAAATATCCTAAAACCTCAACAATGAGAAAACAATCCAACTAGAAAATGAAGAGACATTTCACTGAAGAGGGCATATGGATGACAAGCATGTGAAAAGATGTTCAACACCACCAGCTATTGGGGAAATGCAAATAAGACTGTGATAAGCTATTACTACACACCTACTACACTGGCTAAAGAAAAAAATAGTGACAATACCAAATGCAGCCATGGATATAGGGAAACTGGGCTTCTCGTATATTGCAGTTGGAAATTTAAAATGGTACTGTCACCCTGGAAAACAGCCTGGTAGTATCTTTAAAAATCAAACATATACTTATCTTACTATCCAGCAATTGTGCCCCCAGATACTTATCCTGAAGGTGTGAAAACTTACGTCCAAGCAAAAATCTGTACGCAATTGTTCATTGCCAAATATTACCATACTTGTAATATTTAAATATTGGAAACACCCCAAATAGCCTAGAATAGGTGAATAGTTTTTAAAAAACTGGGGTGTGTCCATATCATAGAATATTACTCAGCCGTACAAATGAACAAACTAGTGATGCATACAGCAACTTGAATCTGTCTCAAGGGCATTATGCAATGTGGAAAAAAAAACAGCCAATCTCACACATCATGTATGATATGATTTCATTTATACAACATTCTCAGAATGACAAAAGTATGGAGTTGGTGAACAGGTCAGCGATGGTTAGGGGTTAGGTACAGTGGGTGCAGAGAGTCAGGAGGACAGTCTCCGTGATGAAACAGTTCTGTTTCTGCATTGTAGGAGCGGATACACGAACGTGCACAGGTGATGACACAGAACTACACACACCCTGCACCAGCGCGAATTTCCTGGTTTTGATGCTGTACTACAGCTATCTAACTTAACCATTGGGAGAAACTTGATGAAGGGTACATAGGACCTCTTTATACTATATCTGTAGCTTCCTATGAATCTAAAATTATTGTGAACTTAGAAGATTTTTTAAAGACAGAAAATTGCCACATAGCATTATAAGCAAACTTTGCATTTTCCCTGTTTCTTTCTTATATCTACTGTATCACCATCACCCCACTCTTGTTTTCCAATTTTGAATACAGAGGATCGAATTTGTCTGATGTTTCCTCTCTCCCCGCTGTAAAAAATACACAAATTTACCTAGCTAAGTGTTTCTCAACAGGGCCCAATGACATTTGAGAAGGGGCTATTTGTCATCATGCAGGGCTGGTCACAGCCACATGTAATCCAGCAGTGTCTCCAAACCATTGGGGCAACCAAAACTGCTTATCCCAAAAACTCCCTAGGGGGACCTTATTTCCTGAGGTGACAACCAATGACTTTCTTAACTCACGAGTGAATGTTAGAAAGTCAGAAATTTTTGGCCGGGTGCGGTGGCTCACGCCTGTAATCCTAGCACTTTGGGAGGCCGAGGTGGGTGGATCACCTGAGGTCAGGAGTTGAAGACCAGCTTGGCCATCATGGTGAAACCCCATTTTGAAAGAAAGAAAGAAAGAAAGAAAGAAAAGAAA